TCACCAAAAGATCAAACCCTAACAAACCTAGTAATGATGACAGTAGATCTCGGTATTGTTCGTCTCTATCGTCGGAAAATCCCATTTTTCTGTCTTGAATCTTGATATTTTGCTGAGTTGTTGGTATTCGACTTGTCCTCCTTTAAGTCCTCTAACTGAGTCCCTAAGTATAGGTTAGTATCTCTTATCTCTTTAAATTTCCCAAAACCCAACTGTGCTTAACTTCCTTCTCTCCTAGGCTAAATGATCCTTTTTATTTGAATGATTTATTTATGAACTCATAATGAAGTAGAGAAAGTAAAAAAAAAAACAATGTTCTTGGTTTGTCTTTTTGTATACTATAATGTCTTGTGAATTGTGTTTATCGCTTTATCATTATGTTTTATAATTTTAGCTTTTTAATGTTTTGGTATACTGGGGTCATATAGTATATTGTCTTGTGAATTATGTTTATCACTCTATCACTATGCTTTATAGCTTTAACTGTTCAATGTTTGGTATAGGTAGCGCATTGACATATTTAGGGCGGGGGTGAGGGAGGGTGACAATGGGCTTCCTATTTTTAGGCTTGTAATATTAATATAATATAATCTAATACTTAGAAAGATTAGAAAACAAGAATTTTGTTTATTGATCTAACTGTTTTACATTAACTTTTTTATAAATATTACAAATATATATTGTTAAGTTATTAACATTGATTTTTTTTTTGTTAAAAAAAGATGTCTCTAACTAGAAAATCTGAACCCAGTTTTTCTAAACGTAATAGAAAACAAGAAGAATAACAATTTATTCGTAGTAAAAGAGGATCTATCAATCATTATATCGTCAAATAAGTGCTGAAATACCATCGTAATGAATAATCAGTTGTGGAAGAACATAAGAAGAAGAAATTGAATTGCGTGTGCCAAAAAACATGGATGAAATTCAAGAAGTTGTGGAAAAACCTAAAAAAGAAGTTCATGATGTTGTGGATGAACCTAGAAAAGAAGAAGTTGTACTTTAAGTGCCAGAAGATATGTATTGTGTAGATAAAGACATAGTCACCTTGAATGGTAATGATGATAACAAAGAATATATTCACTGAATATCTATGATCCCAGGAACATCTAATGAGTGAAGACTGTGAGGAGATGATGTTGTGGTAATGAATTTATGAGATTCTTGTTAGCAACTTGGAGTTTTGAATTTAGTGGTAACAAATTTCATTAATAATATTTTACAAGAAAATTTTTATGGGGCCTCACTTTGATTTTCGTACAAGGACTCCGACATGTCACGGCCGGGCCTGCTAGTCACGATGAGATAGACTATCATTTCATACGAGAACCGGTCACTCGTGGATTTTTAAAGCTACACCGATGATCGGTTAGCAGAGTTGTTCATAAATGGTCTTTTCTAAAGTCAGGTTTAATGCCTTATTTGTCAAATTGCGCCTTCCTTTAGGACGTCTTACTTGAGGGGGGTGTAAGCGTAAATATAATAACAAAATAACGTGTTTTATATATTTTCATCATGGTTGGCTTGGTAATAAACATTTATGTCCTGTAATGCATAATCTTTGCCTTATAATCCAGTGTATTTCCTATTTTACCCTTGTAATTATTCTGTATATATTCTACAGTTTATTGATTGAGACCACCCAAGTTGGGGGGTTTTTTCTTCGCTGTTACCTTCCTTCTTCTCCACACGCTTTCTATATTCTTTTTTTCTCCCCTGTATAGTCGTCTTCCAGTCAATGTGGAAAAAGGAACTTTCTTAACCGTAATTTGAATCGCTATAATCTCACACATAATAGGAATTGCATAAATCCAACAAAGCTTACCAACCATTTTCGAGAACATATGTCCATGGAGTATCGACCCATATTTATGTTAGTGTCTAGTACCATATTCTTCTTCTTTATGTCGGGTTCTGCTGCAGTAGATACAATATCTGCATATCAACCAATCAAAGATGGCAACTCCATTGTTTCAGAGGGAGAGACGTTTGAACTGGGAT